GTGGTAAATAGAAAACAAACACCAAAACAGCAGACCCGAGTCTAAATATAATATTTACATCAACTCTAACTAGACAAAAAGCACATTGTAAGAGATTTCCAGAATAAACCTACAAGCAAGCCCCAACTATATGCTGTATACAAGACACTTTAAAATACCAAAAAGGTTGAAAGTAGGGCAGAAAAAGATAAACCATATAAAGAGTAAGCATTAGAAAACTGGAGTGGCTATTTTAATATCAAACAAAACAAGACAAAATTAATATCAGAAATAAAGGGGGGGGGAGCATTTCAAAAAGATAAGGGCCAGTACACCAGGAAGGGGATAGCAGTGCAACTAGAGAGATTTTTGGGAGGAATGCATATATTAAAAAAGAAAGATCTCAACTGTCCACTTTAAAGAATTAGAAAAAAGAGCAAACTAAACCCAAAGCTAGTAGAAAGAAAGATCAGGAATACATGAAATAGAGAACAGAAAAAAACCTACAAATTCAATGAAGCCAAAAACTGGTTCTCTGAAAAGATCAACAAAATTGGCAAACCTTTAAATTAGAGGAAGAAAAAAAACCCTCAAATTACTATAATCAGAAGTAAAAGGACATTACATACTGAGTATACAGAAATAAAAAGGATTACAAGAGAATGTTATAAACAATTGTATGTCAACTAATTGGATGGCCAAGAGGAAATGGACAAATTTCACATAACCTACCAAAGTTCAATCAAAAACAGAGAATCTGGGATTCCCTGGTGTCACAGTGAGTTGAGCACAGCAGGGTGAAGCTGTCTGCCTCTGCAGCGCCGGTTTAATTCCCAGCCGGCCTGGGAAATAGCCACATGGCGGGGCAGACCTCTCCTGCTCCCCTCAGCAGTATATTTCAGTCAATCTGCCTGTTCTGCTTCCCGCTCTGTCTCTGGTGAAGCCTTTCATTCTCCCGCACCTCTGGCCTGTACCCCAGTTCTTGTATAAACAATCTTTAAAAAACAAAACAAAAATAGAGAATCTGAATATACCTATAATAGTAAGGAGGCTGAAACAGTAAATAAAACCCAACACCAGATGACTTCAGTGGTGAATTCTACCAAATATTTAAAGAATTAACACCAATCCTCTTCAAATTCCGTCCCAAAAATGATGATGGAATTCTTCCTAACTCATTCTAAGAGTACAACATCATACTAATACTAAACCCTGACAAAGACAATACAAGAAAATGATAAAAACTATAGACCAATATTCCTTATGAATATTGTGAAATCGTCAACAATTTACTAGCAAACTAAATTCAGTAGCATATTAAAAGGAATATACAGGGCCTCCCTGGTGGCACAAGGGGCTGAGACACAGCATTGTGAGGCTGCCCACAGCCACTGCAGCATGAGTTCTACCCCTGGCCAGCCAGGGAGATGCCCACATTGTGCAGCGGACCTCTCCTGTCTCTCCCGCTGCTCCCCTCAGCAGTGTATTTCAGTTGGTCTGCCTGTTCTGCTCCCCACTCTGTCTCTCACTCCCCCACCCCGCACCTCTGGCCTACACCCCAGCTTTTGTGTGTATAAATAAATGAATCTTTAAAAAAAAAAAAAGGGCCTCCCTGGTGGCGCAAGGGGTTAAGCACTGCACTATGAACAATCCTCAGCCTATGCAGCACAAGTTTGATCCCCAGCCTGCCAGGGAGCAACCCACATGGCGCAGCAGACCTCTCCTGACTTGCCCACTGCTTCCCTCAGCAGTGTACTTCTGTCAGTCTGCCTGCTGTTCCCCACTCTGTCTCTGGTGAATCCTCTCATCCCCCCCCATATCTCTGGCCTATAAACTAGCTCTTATATGCCTAAATAAATCTTTAAAAAAAAATTGCAGTCTGAGTGTAATGGTTTTAATTTGTATTTCCCAAATGATTAATGAAGACTTTTGCCATATTTATTATCTTCTTTGGTGAAGTGCTTGGTCACAGCTTTTGGGATTGTATCCCTATCACATTATCAGCTACCTAATATATACATTCTGAATACTGGCCCTTTATCAAGCACATGATTTGCAAATATTTTTCTCAGTCTATTTTTCATTCAGGTTCTGGAAGTCTGTTTTACTGAGAAGATGAGTTCCTCACTGGTTGCTGGCTGAGGCTGTCTTCCGCTCCTTATTATGTGAGACTTTCCACTGGCAACTCACAACATGGCAGATTGCTGCAAAGTCAAGTAAGAGAAGACTGTATTTTTGTATGAGCTAGACAAAAAGTTTTTCATGATCTCATCTTCAAGGTGACATCACTTTTGCAGCACTCTATTACTTAGAAGCAAGTTACCAGGCTTAGTCTATACTCAAGGGAAAAGGATCACACAAGTGCATTAATACCGGGCCTCCCCGGTGGCGCAGCGGTTGAGCGCTGGGTTGCGAAGCTGCCCGCGGCCTCTGCAGCGCCAGTTTGATCCCCGGCTGCTCCCCGGCCACCAGAGGAGGGTCCCACATGGCGCGCAGACCTCTCCTGCCGCCCACTGCTCCCCTCAGCAGTGTACTTCCTTCTGCCTGCTCTGCTCCCCGCTCTGGCTCTGGTGAATTCTCTCACCCTCCCACGCTTCTGACTGTACCCAGTGCATGTATAAACAAACAAACAAACAAATAAATAAATAAAAACATGCCTCTATAAAAAAAAAATTAAAATTAAAAAAAAAAAGTGCATTAATACCAGGAGACATGGATCAGAAACCATTTTAGAAGCTGCATTTGGAAGACATACAGATAACTTTTTTTTTAAAGATTTATTTATTTATGCATACAAGAACTGAGGTACAGGCCAGAGGTGTGGGGGGTGAGAGGATTCACCAGAGACAGACTGGGGAACAGAACAGGCAGATTGACTGAAATACACTGCCGAGGGGAGCAGTGGGTGAATCAGGAGAGTCGCCATGTATGTTGCTCCCTGGCCAGAGATCGAACTCGTGCTGCAGTGACTGTGGATAGCTTCCTAGGTTGCGTCTTAACCCCTTGTGCCACCAGAGAGGTCTCTACACAGGTATTTTTTATAAACACTATCTTCAAAATTCTTGTTTTCAGTACTTGAATTCCTTTTTTTTTGTTTCTTGAATTGCCATGGGATATTGACATGTATAATAGTATCCTCCTAATCTTTACTTTTCAGTTTCTTTGCTTTCTAATGGAAGAATACTCAGTTTAGTCTTCTAGCTTACTAATTTAATCAATGGAATTCAAGCTACCGTTTATCTTATCGGTGTTCATTCTTTCAATTATTATATATATTTCCACATAAGTTATATTTGGTTATGATTTTTGTTCTGTATTTGGTAATATCTTCTCTCTTTAATATTCATCATGCTATCTTTAAGTTACTTCTTACCCTTTCAAGTATTCTGCTTCAGATGGTATTCACGTTTTCCTTTGAGGCAGTTTTTGGGTAGCCAACTACTCAGGTCTACGAATCCAAACTCCTGCAGTATAGGCTACAAGCTTGGGAAGGTATACTAAACAAGAGTCAAAGACTAGAATGCCCTGTGTTTAAGAAGGAAGGGGACACACCTTGCAATGGAAAATTCCAGGAATCGTAAGACCACTTGTATTGCTCCCATTCAGTATCATTCCACCCAGTCACACCTTATTTCAGAGTCTTTATTCTAAACCTGGTGTATAAGAAGCAGTTCTTTCAAGAGGCAGTCTCCCCGGATTCCAGTCTACTAACTCTGATATTTTCAAAGGGAAAGGGTAGACAGTGATTGAAATGTCTAAAGCAGGTAGGTCATTTCCCACCAATTTTTATTGACTCACTTCTCAAGGATTTTACACTGCCCTGATATAATCCCTGTGGACACATGCACCAGTAGTATGGCCTGTGACCTTCATTTCTATAATAAGATGGACAGCTATGGTTTGTCTCAAGGCAGGGCCTAGTCCTTTATTCTGTTCAGAGCCAGAAAGTATTTTTGTTATTTTGTGTTTTTATTTATTTTTTATTTTTTTGTGGGACCCTCGCCGGTGGCTGGGGATCAAACTGGTGCTGCAGAGGCCGCGGGCAGCCTCGCAACCCAGCACTCAACCACTGCGCCACCAGTGGAGGCCCCAGAAAGTATTTTTGATTTTTTTTTTTTTTGGATAAGGTATTGCTGCACCTCCCCCTGCAGTGACCCTCAGGGCTAATGGCTGGGCGTGGGCAAGGAACCATGCGCGCAGGGGGAGAACAGCAAACTCCCTAAGATGCAGAGAAGCCGAATGCCTGCCAAGAGATAACGACCACCAGAAGCTGCCACAAAGATGATTAAAAGAAATGCTGACCACCTGGAACCTTATCTCGCTTTCTCAAGGCCCATAAACTTTATTCTGCTACAACTGTCTCTCTAAAATCTTTCCTTTTTCTGGTCATTGATTGCTAATTAAAAAACATACGTAATTTAATAATTAGGCTAATGCAAATGAAACATTACTAAACACTGTGTTATAATGGAATTGTTAGTTTAATAATCTTTCTATTATGTGCTTAACTTTAGTACCTTTGATATTAACTACATTGTAATATAAATTTACCTATGACAATTAATTATGAGTAAACATAAGTAGGTAATAGTAGTAGTAATTAGTACAAGAATATAGAAAGAGTTAATAACCTGTCTACTTAGAAATGCAGCTAGGTCCAGATGTATTGTGGACATAAATCACTGCCCTGTCAATGATAAGCTAAACCTATGAGCAAACTGATTTCTTTGATGTTTACCGATCCTATGCCTTTAGAAAAAACATATATATACTGACCACTAACAAAAATAAAGAACACTCAGATTTACACTCTCTCTTGTAGTGTGTCTGTTTGTCATTTCTTTAACCAAATCCCTGACCACCCTGCGCAGTCTCTCAACCCTGAGACGGCCTCATCGTCTAATGCTGTGCTGGTCCGCGGCAGGTATATCAGAACTACTCAACTCTGCCTTTGTAGTATAATAAGTATGGCTGAATTCCAGAAAAACTTAAATTTATAGAAAAGTTACTTAAATTACTTTTCTAAATACATCCTACTATTGCCTCTCTCATATGCCTGGTCCTTCAAGCTATAACTATTCTCTTGTTATCCCCAATAGTTAAAAAGAGTTTTACTCTCCAGGGGCTTCTCACTTTTGTTGTTTACTTTTCTGGAATCCATGTTCCTTCCCTTTGTGGTTCTAGGGAGGAGGTAAGAAGTACATGTTAATACACCATCTTGGCAGGAATGGGAAACCAAGTCAGTAATTGTTTTCTTTATATATTTTTGGAGCAAAATTGTGTTTATTTAAAAAAAAATCTGGACCTTGAACATACTTTACTGCTTCTGTTGAAGAACCCAGGTCAAATAAAAAGATCAATATTAAAAGCAGCATAACTGGTTACTGTCTTAAAGATACAGAAAAAGAATCAAACACTACAGTGTAGGAAAACAATCACTCCCATGTCAGAAATCACAATTTCTTCTAAATAAAGAGTATGACCCATCTGCCATATTGAATTGATATTTATTTCAGGACATGCCATGTCAAAATAAAACAAAAGAGTCAACCCTTGCCTTTAACAATAATATTGTATTATAAAAGCACTTTACAACTCCATCTCATCTTTGAGAATAAGTTACTGGTATGTGGGCTAATGATTATCTGAAAGCATTTATCTGTTCAGACCCATAATCCAAGTGCTCTCTGAATATTAGAAGGTGACAGTGAGTGAGTAGTGGAGGAGGAAGAGGAAAGAGACGGGTATAAAGTTCTCCTGGTTAAGGATTTAGTTGTAGTGAGGGGATGAGGAAGTATGAAGATATTTTCGTTGTCATTTCATCTTTATACTGTGTTAAGTAATGCTTACAACATAAATTCAGCAGGCTTTTCCTGAGCTGTAACTCGGAAATGTTCTTCCTGCAAACAATGTATTTACAAATGTGTTTATTAACTTACACAGCAATCTCACAATAACTAGTAAAGATTAAAAGGGTGCACTCCTAGTATATTTGTTTGCAGTGTTTTAAGGGAAATATATATTGCCATGGTGATGAAGCTCTAAGTAGACTGAACAAAACATCTAAAAATTGAAAGTAATTTTTTAAAAAAAGGCAAAGAAATAAATATCACCAAAGACAAAAGATTAATTGTAGCTTAAATATAAAACTAAATCACTAGTTAATTAACCAAACTATACAGATCTAGTAAAAAGCAAAACCAGCCTGAAAGAACCAACATTTAAAAAATGCTAAAAAATAAGGCATAAATCTGCATAATAATGAGTTTTTATTTCTATTCTTTCCTTTCCCTCTTCTATGTAAGCTTTTCTAGATCTGCCTCTAGGGACTTATAAGAAAACTGTTTCTGTTTTCAATTTTATTTCAAATGTCCTGAGCAAAGTATCTGTTATTTTGCTGAGGGTTCTTTTGTTGGTAAGCTTTAGATATTGTTTCTATTGGTTTCAGTAGTTTTGATCAAGGTGCAAAATTTAAATTCTTTCATTGGTTCTTAAAGGAATTTGATTTCTACAGTGTCTTCCCTGCAGAGCATTAATAAAGAAAGAAAACCCAAGAGAAATCTATTGCTTATAAGTTGTTTTTGTTTTTTGAAAAATAAAAAAAAAAATAAAAAATAAAAAAAAAATAAAAAACTCTATCTTGACAATTTTAAAATCTTGGGAGAAAGGTCAATGAAGAATTAAAATTAAAAACCTGTTCCGAAACACTTGCTTGTTTTTCTCTCCCAGAGTCTTATAAAGCATAGATGAAAGGGTCATTTGTTTTGGTCAGAAATACATTTTATGTTCATTAAGACTCACTTTGAAGATGCACCAGAACCCTTTTCTTTTTCAAGCACTGCCTACCATGACAGCTGAAGTTTGGCCTCAAATAAGGCTTAAATAATCTATATTAGTGCGCAAGAATAATTTTGGATATCTTGGCTCAACGGCCTAGAGTGATATCATTATAATTGAAGGATAATCCCAATGGGCTTGGTCTGACTGCTTTGCCACCTCGTTTGTTTTGAGGAAGGGAAAAAATAGGGAATGGTTAAGGTTGAGGTGAGAAAAGCAGGGACAGAGAGATCAGCAGGTAGGCAGGTGCTGCTCTGAACAACTGCTCTTTAACCAAGCTAAACATTGAAAAAATTTCCATCATTTTGAAGTACATTACCATAACATTAAAAAGGAAAAAAATGTTAAGAAAATGTATCTAATTTTTAAAGTTATCACTGGAATATGCTGGAGTATTTTGGCTTTTTGTAAAATATAAATAATGAAGACACTGACTTTTTTTGTGCTTGTGAAGCTAATAGATCATCTCCACGAGACAGGCAGCAATGATGAACTGCAATACGTTATTACTGAAGGGGAAGGGTTCAAGCCAATATTCACACTGCAGTCAATGAAATAGTAAGGGAGCCAAAGCAGTGAGCTTCCGGAGCAAGGTGGAAGATGCCATAGGGGATTAGCAGGAACAGCCTCCTTCACTGACTGGCTGCTCCTGAGGCTTTTCCAGTTTTATGTCAATCACTGAAACAAAAGTTAAGGATTCACAACTGGGAAAGCAGAATTTCAATTCTGCTGAACACAGACATCTCTTTCAAGTTCCTTCCATTTTTATTTGGCTTCAGAGTTTACAAAACCACTATTTAATTTATAGCATCCTCACCACATGAGGTGTTCAAACAGAACAGACTTGCTTCTATCTATTATGTGCAGCAAGAGTCAGAATAAGGTTAAGTCCTATTCATGGGAATACATCCTAAGGAAATTTATTCTATAGGAGCAAGAAACCATATAAAGATGATATTCCTTATGGAGTTATCAATAATAAAAATCTGAAGATATCCTATAAGCATTCTCACAACAAGGAAGGAATTTAATAAATGATGGGACTTCAACTCTGTAGACTAGCATAATGTTATGCTATTAAAAGTAATAAGGCACAGAAAACATAAAACAGAAGTGGAAAAAGCTGAATACAAAATGCTATGAATTCTATGGTTTAATAAAATCACCTGCATATGGAAAACCAAAAGAAGGTAAATATAAAACAAACAATAAAAATATAAAAATTCAAAATCCTTTGAAATAGCTAAGATTAGATGTGCTTCATTATGTCTTATTTCTGAAAGCAGAAGCAACAATAAAGCTCTAGAGTGAACTCTATCCTGTTTGTACCAAGTAGAAAGCTTGAATGTTAGAAAAAGTAGGGAAAGAAAATACATATACTGTGGGGAAAAAGTGTCGAGCCAATGGGACTCAAAATTAAGCAGAAGACTGGGATCCAGCTCATTAAAAATCAAATAAGCAAGCAAGCAAACAAGCAAGCAAAATACTCTCACTGATTAATCATAGTGAGCCGAAGGCTGGAGAGGGTGCACTTGGGTAACCAGATCTCATTTGACATAGAAAACCTTGGCACTTCCATACAGGCCCATAGGTCATCAAATCCTGGCTGTAAAAGGCAATGGCATTCCATAACCAACCCAGACCGGTCTCTAAAGACTATTGCTAAGAATAAAAATTTTTCTGATGAAAAGGATACTGTCTTCTCTGCTTCTGTCCTGTGTGCTTTCCATTCCAGGCAAAGCTGCTGCAACACGTCGAAAGAGCTGTGAAAAAGAGAGAATGTGGTAATTGGGAAGGGAAAGTTAGCAAATCGTATTAAGTAAAGGCATATGGATACCACAGGATGTTGAGTTAAAGGGTATGGTTCTGGGTTATTCTTCACTTAGATCTTAGCATCAAGAAAACATTAATGTTTATTCATTCTATGGAAATTAGATGACAGGTTGTCTTTTGGTTCCTCAGTTTCTCTCTGTAAAATGGACTTGAATTCATAATATACTTAACTGACTGGATTATTGTGATAATTAAGAGAAATCATTATGTAAATTGCTAAGGACTAAGCTATTATGTAAAGTCTTTAATAAGCAGTAGTTCTATTTCTACGTGAGACTAGTCACAATAACTCATGATCCTGTGGCTGGGGGAACAATGAGTTTTACCAAATGTTATAAAAATTCTGCAGTGAATTCTGGGACTACCGCAAAATGTCAACAGGTACACACTTCATTTTTAAGAATTTACTATCTATCACTGCTTAGAGAGACCACCTGTAGTTTGGATCACATCAAATAAAAATTTATCAAATAAAAATCTAAAATTGCAAAAAAAAAAAAAAGAATTTACTATCTAAAACTGGTAGGAAAGGTGTGGGTATTGAGAGAGACTTTCTGCAAGTCTTAAAGCAGAACTAAAATTTTCTTACTTAGAATAATCTAGAAATCTTCACCAAAAACTCATTGTTTGCTTCTGACACAAAATAGTTATTAAACTGCTTACCATTTCAGCTCCCATAATCAAAGTTTATTATAACTAGCTTAGAAACAGAAATTTTTCTCTTGTGGGAGATGCATGGGGAAATTTACTTTCTATGAAAATGGAGTAAAATGATGTTTACAAGTTTGAGGCTTCTTAAAAAGTTAAAATAGGTTCTGGGTTTCCCCTGGTGGCGCAGTGGTTGAGTGCTGGGCTGCAAAGCTGCTGTAGCCTCTGCAACGCTGGTTAGATCCCCGGCTGCCAGTGAGGGTCCCACATGGCGCACAGACCTCTCCTGCAGCGCCTGCTGCTCCCCTCAGCAGTGTATTTCATCAGTATGCCTGTTCTGTTCCCCGCTCTGCCTCTGGTGAATCCTCTAGCCCTCCCACACATCTGGCCTGTACCCTGGTTCTTGTATAAAAATAAATAAATCTTTTTTTTAAAAAAAAGTACATAACCAATTAGGTATTTCAGGTATTATTATATTCCAGTTTGTCTATCCATTCTCATAATATAACACAGAGCTCAGCTATGAGCCAAGAAACGCCAGTACTAACTATCCCATTATTTCAGCTTATGACCCCACAAATATTAATTTCTCTATACTTTAGACTCCTAATAAAAAAGGGGGAATAAAGGACATATGATGCTTCTCCTTAGATTATTCTCCTCTGCTCCTAATCAAATCTGCCTAGCAACTCATGCTTAAGGATGGATTGCCTGATAATGTCTTAGAAAATTTCCTTAGCCCCAGATTTCTATAATTCCCTACCTAATAAAAAATATTTCCATATACTCCAGTAGTATCCTTTTCTTCTTCTCCTCTCAGAGCTTTTATTACACTAATTGTAATGGCCAATTTACCTCCCTGCCTTTCCCTCTAGATTTAAAACCTCTGGAGAGGTCCAGGCTCTTATTTCGTCTTTGTTATCCTAGTACTTGACATACAGTAGATATTTTTATAAATGTTAGCTTAAAGAGTGACTAGTACATATGAAAACACATTAGAAGGCATAGAGTATAATATAAATGGTTGATTAGTGCATTTATCTACTAGCTTTTCTGGTGTGTGTGTGGGGTCCATTAGATCTGAATTTCCAGATAATCCATTAGGCATAACTATCCACAATAATATTTAGCAGATAATATAAGAGAAAGCTTGCAATCCTTATGCTCACTCAGTCTTCCTGACCACCTCCCCCACAACCCCCTTTGGATGAGAGACCAATGTACTCAGTTCCTTGCAGCAGTACAAGAAGGCTAAAAGGGATTTTAAATTTATATGCATGCAGTGAAGAAAAATATGATACACTTCCACTTGATGAGAAAACAAATGCCACTGGATGTCTGCAATCAAATATGAAAGGATTCAATTAACACAAGCAAATGTAACTACAGGCAATGACAACTAGAAAGATCAGATTAACTGGTAGATCCATCAATCAGAGAAATACATATTTAAAGAAAACAATAGGTCTCCATTTTTTACAAAGTTAAATATACTAAACACAAAGAACAAATCCCCTTATTTTTACATTCAAAAACAATTATAAAGAAATACTTCAGGAAAGCTTTTGTGTAAAGTTCTATTTTGAATGCTTTCCCTCCAGACCAGTGGTTTTCAATACCTAAACTGCATTAGAATTACCCAAGAAACTTAAAAACAAGTAACATATCAGCTATTAGGTTCCCATTCCCAAAGGTAGATTCCACTGATTTGAGGTAGGCCTGGGCCTTTAGTATTTCATTCAAAGATCTCTGGATAACACCAAGGTGCAGCCAGGGTTAAAGACCAATGCTATAACCATAACTTGTAAGGAGTATAAAGCAAAGGAGAAGCCAATACTGAGTGTTTTGCCAGAATCTTTACTTGTTTCCTCATTTCTTTATATTAACATGTGAGGGAAATATTAATATCCTTTCTAGAAATCTTAGACTGAAAAGAATATTTAGCATAGATAGATCAAATGAATAAATATAAAGCTACAGCTCCAAAGTTCTTACTTTTTACTATCTTATGCCATCTAATATAAATGGAAGTTCTTGCTAAATAGAAAGCACTTCTGTGGAAAAGGCTGTATGAAGAAATGATAAACAATCCTGGGCAAGAGGAATTTGCTTTGTGAAAGACCATTATTATACATAAAGCACAGACATAAAACCTTAACAATTTTCTATTGACTTGAAACTTTTATCTGGATTACACTCAGTAAAAAAAGTCAGAAGGAAAAAGAAAAATATCAGATGGTTTCACTTATAGAAGAAATATAGGGAAACTGAACAAAGGGTCAAAAAAAAGACAAAATCTGCAGGCAAACTATAGATCTGAGTTATACAGCAAGGAAGGAGGAAAGGGCTCAAACCAGAGGAGGGAAGAGCACAAGGGACTATGATGAAGGTTCACAGGTAATGTGGTGGTAAAAGATTTATGGGGACTACACCTGAGGGAAGAAATCAAACATTGCACAAAAATGAATACAAGGGAAAAAAAAATTAAAAACAACAACAACAACAAAAAAGGGGCTCCCTGGTGGTGCAAGGGGGTAAGCCTGAGCACTATCAAGCTATCACCAGCTACTGCAACATGAATTGGATTGCTGGCCAGGTGGTGACCCACATGGCGCATCACTCCTCTCCTGTCTCACCCGCTGCTCCCCTTAGCAGTGTATTTCAGTAGATCTGCCTGTTCTGCTTCCCATGCTGTCTCTAGTAACTCCTCTCACCAGCCGCCCCCTTTCTAGCCTATACCCCAGTTCTTGTATGAATAAAAATAAAACTTAAAAAAAGGGGGCTCCATGGTGACTAAGGGGTTAAGTCTAACCCACTTGGTTCAGCAGACCTCTCATCTCACCAGCTGAACCCTTGAGCAGTGTATTTCAGTAAACCGCCTGTTCTGCTCCCCACTGTCTCACCCCCTGAACCTCTGGCCTATACACCAGTTCTTCTATACCAAAATAAATTAAAAATAAACAAATAAAATTAACCCTTTGCACTCCGAACCATTCTGGACATTGGCTACCAGGTACTCGACGCTACTTTGCGGCGGAAACGTGCATTTACAGACCCTCGTATTATTTAGTATAATTTTGGAACCGAGTAACGTATTATAATGATATTGGACTTAAATGAATTGGGTGACATCGAGGAATGTACATTTGCAAAAAAAAAACCAGTATTTTATTGTTTATAATTTTGTACATATGGTAAGGTTTTGTAACACTCCCCAATATGCATTGCAGGCTGATTAGTGCATGTTTGACATGTCTGTATAGAGGTCTATCTGGAGCTCATCTTCACTACTACTTGTGTCATGAGACTCATTCGTGGTTGGATGCTTTGCCATTGTTCTAATAAAAAATATGAATAAATGCATGGGTTTAAAATTTCTAATTGTTATTACTGACAAGATGATATTTACCAAAATAGCTCTCACCAATTTATTCACTAAGAAAAGAATCACTTTTCCAATTTTCTCCTCGTTAGATCCATGTGCACTGCTCGAAGCTTCAAACCAAAATGAGCTCAGCTTTGAAAATCTTTTCCTCCAGATGTAGACTTGTTTATTTGTAATTATATATCTCACTATACAGTGCGCGCTATGTTCTAAAACCGACCTTTCTTCTACAAACTCCCCTTATCGCTCTTTTCAAGTGGCGTCGCGAAGTGCTCGGACCGTCGTGAGCACGCATCTCACGTTCTCGTCCGACACAAAACCCGCTGACATTTCTTGTATATATCTTAGTAATTTACGATATTTTGATTTAATTTCTTGTGCCATTTCAAGATAAAACTTCAGGGAAACATGCATGTCTCAAAAAGTTGCGTTGAAATAACTCAATTCCCCGTAATCACTAATAAATCGCAATGTCCCCTGAGAGGGGACATCCGAGTGATATGCTAGAATTCCAATGTCCCCTGAGAGGGGACAGCGGAGTGCAAAGGGTTAAAAAACAAAACCAAGAAACTTTTATCTACAGTTTTTTTTTTTAATAGAGGCATGTTTTATTTCTTTATTTTATTTGTTTGTTTTGTTTTTTTTGTTTATACATGCACTGGGTACAGTCAGAAGCACGGGAGGGTGAGAGAATTTACCAGAGCCAGAGCGGGGAGCAGAGCAGGCAGAAGGACCGAAGTGCACTGCTGAGGGGAGCAGCGGGCGGCAGGAGAGGTCTGCGCGCCATGTGGGACCCTCCTCCAGTGGCCGGGGAGCAGCCAGAGATCGAACCAGCGCCGCAGAGGCCGCGGGCAGCTTTGCAACCCAGCGCTCAACCGCTGCGCCACCGGGGAGGCC